ACACACTGTTACTCTCCACACACACACACACACACACGCGCATGCACAAAGACAAACACGTGCACACACACACACACACACACACACACACACACACACACACACACACACACACACACACACACACACACACACGCACGCACGCACACACACACACACACACGCGCGCGCGCGCGCGCATGCACACATACATGCACAATGGCGCTGACCTCTGTGATTTCGCGGCAGACGGCAATGGACTCGAGACAGAGTTTGGTGGCGTTGATGTGCCGGCGCTCTGTGCGAATGTTGCTGAACTTTGGGTTGAAGCTCAGCGGTGGCTGCGAATCAATTTCTGACGGCGGAATCTCGTGGAACAGTTTCGTGTCCTGCAGGCAAGCCACCAGACAGCATACACAACGGGCGAGCGTGGTGAGGTACACACATGCACACAAAAGCACTCGCACACAGCACTCGAGCATTGGCAACAAGATCGCGCACGCGCAAGTGTCAAGCACGATGCTGGCAGAGCAAACGTAGTTGCAGATGCACGTGTATACGTCTATGTGCGCGTGTGTATGTACTGACTGTGAGCAGCTGTCGCTCGAGGCGGCACATGACTTCGGTCATTGTCTCCATGGCGACGCGCTGATGTTGAGCACGCAGCCATCATAATGTCAACAGAGGCAAGGTTGAGGGTTGATCAAGGGTACATGACACGTCCACACCCACCACACCTTCACACACAGAGGTGAGCGCACACAGTACGAGCACCACGGACGTACGTCCACGACGACCGCACCTTATCGTCGGCGATGAGCTCGAGGTTGGTGCAGATGAGAGACAGAACCGCAATGCCGTCCTCAACAATCGCCGCATACTGCCGCGCCCGCTATCACACGCAGACATGCCCGGTGCATGAGAATCGGGGCGTGAGAGTGAGAAGTACAAAGCAAACGAAAAGCATCGTGTGCATGCGTCTCCACACACCCCTTTGACATGCACACACGCATACAAGCAAACAATTGCGCACTGCACAGCGCCAGCACATGGCACGGGCAGCACCTCTGCGGCGGTGACGAGGTCGTGCGGAGAGAGCTTGGCCAGCAGTTTCTCCAGCTGCGGCACCAGCGGCCCCGTGTACGTGTAGCGCTCTGTCGTCTCTTCGTCCTCATACGCAACAACATGGTAGTTGGCGCTCTAATGGGCCGATCAATGCACAGCGATGTGAGCAGCTGACAACATAAGAGAAACGAGCCTCTTGTTGAGATAGCAAAGTAACCAGTGGCAGCAGCTGCTTATGACATCCACGGGCCCCACAAATGATACAACAGTAACACAGCCACGCAGGTGAGCTTGTGACAAGTTGTGAACGTACCACGTATGGCATCACAGACATGCCTGCCTGGGTTCCAATGTTGTTCAGCCTGTCGCCAAAAAACATGCATTTTGTTAGGCACAGTGCAGCAAACACACATACGGACACCGCACAGCACAGTGTCAACCTCATGCACATACACACTCTCTCTCACTCACATGCACACTCACTCACATACACACTCACAAACAAGCACACACACACACATTCACACACTCACATGCACTCGCACATACACACATGCACACGCATATATTCTCGCCCAGAAGCAACCGCAACCGCGACTGCAACAAGGTACAAAGACTTACTCCTGGTTCTTCTTCTTCGCGTCTGCCATGAGGGCGCACCAGCGCTCAAACTTCTCCGGGTCAATGTCGTGCTCACCGCGCATTCGTTCCTTCAGCTTTGCCATCTCATCCCCGTCATTGTCACCACCAGACCCATCGTCCGCATCGTCGCCATCACAATCATCACCAACATCATCACCGTCGTCGCCGTCGTCGCCGTCGTCGGGGCTCAGCGTCGCGCGCGTTTGATTGCGCGTGCGAGCTGGCGCGCGAGGTGATGAGCTGCTGCTTCCCGACTGCTTCCCAGCACCGCTCACCTCGTAATGGACACTGTGATCATCGTCATCATTGTTGCGGCCGTCATCACCATCACCACCACTGCCGCCACCACGACGACGTCGGCTAGCGGCGTCGCCGCTTGCCTTACTGTCTGGGTTGCTGTCTGTGCCCTTGGTTGTCTCGTCGCTAAACTGCCGCTCCCGCCGCACGCGCTGCGGGGACCGCTGAGCAGCAACGTGCAGTTGCTCTGCCACCCGCGCCTCACGTGCAAGCATCAGCTCGTAGTACTGCACGCGTGTCTCCTCGGCCCTGCGTGCTGCGTCGGCCATCCACAGCTCCCACTCCTCGTCAAGCAGCTCATGCCTGCCCACTTTCCCCACGCCGTCGCCGCCGCGGGCCTCGCCATCATCAGCAGCAACATCGTCATCGTCATCGTCATCGTCATCATCATGTCCGCTGCGAATGCACTCCTCCCAGTACAGGTCGTCGTCGTCGTAGTCCGAGTACACGCTGCCGTCGTCCTCGTCCGTGGTGTTGCTGTCCCCCGCCTCAAGAAACATCTTCAGCCGCCGCTGTTGCTCGGGCGGAATCTGACGCATCATTGCCGGGCTGATCCCGTCAATCGTCACCTCATCCCCATCCGTATGGTCCGTGTTGTCATTGTTCTCGCCACGGTTGCCACTACCTTCATCGCCACTACCAAACTTGTCATCGTCATCGGCATCGTCATCACCATCCTCGTCGCCATCGTCATCTGTGGAGTATGGATCGTCCGTCCCAAACGCCTGCAGCCATTTCAACGCGTGCGTGCGTAAATGTGTGCGTGTGTGCGTGTGTGCGCGCGTACATGCGTATGTGTGTCGGTGAATGTTTCGAACGAGATCAACAAGTACACAAACACAGTGCTTGCTCAATGTGCAGCGACAGCCTGGTTGACTTCCCCTCTTCACCCGCCAACACAAGTGCATATACGATAACGCAGGATTGTGTGTGTGTGTGTGTGAATACCGCGAGGTCAAGAAGGCTGTCTGTGATGAGATCATGGATGTGCGAGCTGCCTTGCGAGCGCGGCTGCACCGCCTTTGCCCTGAGATGCTCTGGCGTTGACACGTGGAATCCACCGGTCAAATCAAGGAACCGCTCGTGGAACACGTCCGTCGTCACCACATCCCCGATATCGGCAGTGCTGTAGCAGGGACAGAGCAAATGGGGGTGGGAGTGGGGCAGTGGGGAGAGAGGTTGAGGTGTACCGCCGACACACAAGACGCAAACGCACATACATACACACGCACACACATACACATGCAGGCAGCAAGTGGGGCCATGGCCATGTCCATATGTGTGAGTCATGTTGAGAACCACAGGGCCCATACAGCGCCAGGAGCGAGATGAGGCTGCAGTGACACAGAAGACCACAAGTGCATATGCCGCAAAGAAGTACAGAGCAACAGCGGAGGCGGTGGTGTGCGTACATTGGGGTGAGAAACTCCTCGTGGGGCAGGGGTCTGCATGCCGGCAGGTCCCAGGTCGGGTCCACGTCGAGAAAGGCGTGTGGATCGGCGACGTAGAGGCAGGTGCGCAGCAGGAGCACGTGCTGACCGACGGCCCGGAGTTCCTTGGAGGCGTGGCGGGCGGTGGCCATGGCGTGGGTGTAGGCGCCCTTCAGCTCCCTCGCCCGCCGCACCAGATTGCGGTGGGTCTGCTCAAACTGCGCCTTGTTCTTGGCTGGAAGGCACAACGCGTCATTATTGTGTTTTGTTTCGTGTCATTTGATGTCATTGGCGTGAGTTGGTGCAATTGCGGTAGGTGTTGTGGGTGAAGAAGGGCAGGGGAGAATATGATTAGCTTGTTGCCGCAATTTACATTACATTACACACTCATGTGGCAGCACCACTCACTGTCACACACACACACACACACACACACACGCACACACACGCACACACACACACACACACACACACACACACGCGCACACACACGCACACACGCACACACACACGCACACACACACACACACACACACACACACACACACAGAGCAGCAGCAGCAGATGCCGCCGCGCCACTCACAGCAGTGGTCGTAGAGGATAAAGGGGAGAACGGCGACGAATCCGGCAGCAACGCGGTACGCGTCGTGCGCAGGGAGCGTGCGGCCGTCAAGAAATCGCGAAAGCGCAACCTGATACGGCATTCCACCGTTGGGCCGATACTGGCACATAGCACAACAGAACCAACACGCGTTCAGTGAGCAGCATCAGTCATGGGTTGCTGCAGGTGCAAGTTGCAAGGTGCAAGGTGCCAGGTGCAAAGTGGTGCAAGCCCACACGAGCAATCAAAGCAACACAGGCGATGGCAAGTGTGTGTGTGTGCGCGTGTGTATGTTTGTGTGTGTGTGTGTGTATGTTTGTGTGTGTGTGTGTGTGTATGTGTGTGTTTGTGTTTTGTGTGTATGTGCGCACAGACTACCTCTGGGTATCGGCAGATGGTGTAGACGAGCTCTGCAGCGACGGGATCCATGTGGAGCAGAAACCGTTCGTAAACCAGCTGTGTACATTGGATGCAAGGTAGAGACGCATGCAGCAACAGTGGCAACAACAGTGGCAGACAGGGTAGTGTCAGTATCAGCATGAGTGTCAGTAGTCCGTTGATGGCATATCAAAGCAGTTGTGGTGCTTGTCGACAGACAGACATATGCAAACACACATACACACACATATGAATAAGAACACCCTCCTTCCGCTCTTCCCACTTCGACACAGGCGATCAGATGCAAGGCCGGCGCACCTTGCAAAAAGCGGGCGGGACAAGGACGGGCGCCAGGTCCGGATTCTCCAGCACGCGAGCCATGGCAATGCTCTGCAGGTGGAACATCTTACAGACAAGAGCGTTGTAGTGGCGTCGCAAACACGGATGCTTCTCGACAAGGTCCATGTAGGTGTCGCACGCCGTCTCCAAGTGCGCTGGCACAGGATCGCTCTTGTCGCCAAAGCGCAGTGCCGCTTGCTCAAACACTTGTGCCCAGCGCTTCAACTGGGGTCGCGTCAGCTTCTCCCTGTCGACCGGCATGTCAGAGCGTACACGCATGAGAACACCCTTCATGTGCTGCTCGCTTGCTATCTTGCTCGCTTGCTATGTTGCTCGCTTGCTTGCTTGGTAGTTTGCTCGACGTGAGTCGACACACCAGCAGCCGTGTACAGACATGGGTACGAGCAACACACATACCCTTCGACAGGCACAGGCACGAGCAACAAATCCTTCGACACATGCATATGGCCTCGCCACACACGCACATGTAACAGAAGGAGCCTTCGACAAGTAGCAGGGTACTCACAACTGCAGCGTTTGCAGGCCGTCACACACAAATCTGTGCATGTTGAACAGATCCACAGCACCAGCAGCACTGCAGAACAACAACACATGGGCAAAGATGGTGAGCCAAGGTCAACAGAGTCACAAGTTTCGGCAATCGACAGAGACCAAGGAGCGTGTCGACTTGCGGGCTGCTGCAATGTGGTCTTGTGACAGACACACACATGCAGGTGCATAGACACAGAGAAACGTAGACACACACATGCAGATGCATAGACACAGGGAGACAGAGAGACGCACACACACACACACCAGCACACACACACATGCACACACATGCACACCATCACTGGCACGTACCGTTCGTGGAGGACAAACTCCCATGTGGCGCGAACGACAGTTTCGTGGTCAAAGGTGAAGATGTCGCGGTGCTTGTGCTTTCTTGCCTCGCTGCCCATGCCGAAGCGGCCGCCCTGTGAGCCGCGCTGCGCACTCTCCGCCGACCGCAGACTGAGGCTGGAGGACGCCGGGGTGCCTGCGGTGTCGATGCCTGGGAGCAGGGGGTTCATGGCGTTGGCGATGGACGCAGCCACATCGTCGGGGCTGGCCCCTCCAATGCCACTGGCCGTGCCTGTGAACCCACTGCTTGGCGAGTGGCTCAGCCACCGCGAACGAGGCATCATCTTCGGTGCTGTGGGTGGTGCTGGATGTGTTGGTGGTGGTGGAAATGGACGGTGCACGTGTTGTTGGTTGGTGTGTGCTTTTGCTTGTAGTTTTGTTTTATTCGAGAATGATTTCATGGCGAAATAATGGCAAGGAGAGTGCACAACACACACGACACACACACACAACACACACACGCACACACACACACACACACACACACACACACACACACACACACACACACACACACACACACACACACACACACACACACACACACACACACACACACACATCATGCACACAACACACGCACACAACACACGCACACACAGGTGTTCAGCCTGAGGGAGGTGGGGCAGCGGTGGCGGCCTTGTTGTTGGTGCTGTTGTCCTCTTCGCCAAGGAACTGCTGTAATGTCTTCTCCGAAACCCGCTCTGCAGCCACCACGCGCCCGTCAAAGTAGCGCCCATTCAGCGCATCAATCGCGGCGCCCGCAGCTGCGAAGACGTTCGTGTGCATGTGCATGTGTGTGTGTGTGTGTGTGTGCATGTGTGAGTCAAAGAAATGGGGAGAGATAAGACAAAAGTGGTTGCGGCGCATGCAGCAGATAAACAAGCAAAAAGCATCGTTGCGTACATTGCGGAGTGGTAAACTTGACAAAGATCTTCGCCAGCGAATCAGGGTGCGGTCTTGCTTGGCTCTAACAGAACAAATGGAAATAAGTGTGAGAACATTGCTTTTGAACAACGCCTCAAACATGGCACAGAAGCAAACAGTAGCGTGTGTGCATGTGTGCGTGTGCGTGTGCATGTGTGTGTGTGCGTGTGTGCTCACGTGCGTGTGCATGTTTGCGTGTGCGTGTGCATGTTTGCGTGTGTGCGTGTGCGTGTGTGCGTGTGCGTGTGTGTGTGTGTGTGGGTTGTGTGTGCGTGCATAAATGTGTGTGCATTTAATCCTGTGTTGAAAACTTGCCGGTGGGATGTCGACGTGAATGTGGATTTTGTCAACCTGGAATCGCAAAGCAGAGGGAAGTAATCTCAGGGTAAATGGACACCAACTGGCCAAGATGTCCACACACACACACACACACACACACACACACACACACACACACACACACACACACACACACACACACACACACACACACACACGTCGCCACACGCACACACGCGCGCACGCCAACACATCCATCCCCCCTTGTCCCTTCTTCCTGGGTGTACGCACCACGCCGTGTTTGATGCACTCCATGCGGATTTCATCTTCGAGCGTGGCGTCGACATCTTTGGCCGTCACCATGTTCGACAGCTGGATCACGGGCGACGACGTCTGGCGCCATTCATCATGTGGGGAGAGTGTTGAATGGGGGGGGGGGGATCGTTGAGGGTGAGGGAGTGGAGAAGAGCAAACATCGGTACCATGTACATTGTTACATGTGTGCGCACTTGTTGTGTAAGCGGGGCTGGTGAGCTGTATTGTGTACGCGCATGGCTGAAAATGCTGTCCCCCCCACCACCACACCGCATCCCTGCTGCCCCCACACCAATTGGTGTGTGCTGTCACCTCGTCGCCCGTGTCGCCGCGCTGGAGCTTTTGCATAATCATGAACCGCTGCGACCCGCGGATCGTCAGGTTCTCCTCCATGTCAATGTTCTGCTGCGGCGCATGCACTGCCAGCCGTTCACGCACACACACACCAAATACATGCACGTGCTTGGGTGAGGACGGCACAGGCGCGACATAAAGTGTCACACAAAACAGATGGGATGAACCAGCGATCCAAACGTACTCAAACATACACACACACACACACCTGCACACACACACACTCACTCAAACACACCTCAGCACACACACACACACACACACTCAAACACACATCAGCACACACACACACTCACTCAAACACACCTCAGCACACACACATCAGCATCGCAAGTACAACCGACGTTGTGGTGCAGCTGGGGGCGCGGACGGCTGCTGTAAGAGAGCCTGCTGGGCAGCAATGGACCCTTCAATTTGCTGCTGCGGCTGCTGCTGCTGCTGCTGCTGTTGGCCTTGTGTTTGGCCTTGCTGCTGCTGCTGTCCTCCTTGCTGCTGGTCGCCCGTCTGGCCTGCGGTCGCACCTGTTTTCATGCACAGCACACCGCAGTGCAACGCAGCACAGCACAGTGCAGCACACTTCCGTCAGCCAGTGAACCGAACGCAGGCGGCGGCGACTGGCGGTGTGCCTCCTCCCCTCCCCCCTTCCCGCACCTCCAGGATGGTGTGGACACCACGGCGACACACACACACACACACACACACACACACACACACACACACACACACACACACACACACACACACACACACACACACATGCATACATGCGTGTGCGTGGCCGACTCACCTTCGCTGCCTGGGAGGCGCCCGTGCGCGGCAAGAATGGCCTTGATCTCCGCAGGCGTGCTGTCAACGCCAATACAACCAGTGTGTGAACGGAGACAACGCAGTTCTGAGACACGAAATACACGACAGCAAAAGACATGCTGGCAAACACGCAAACACATGTGGACGCGCACACCACTTTTCCACACAACACAACACAACACAACACAAACTCAAACAAACAAACACAAACACCAACACAAACACATGGCTCCCGTTGCTGTGGGCGGACCTGAGAGCTTTGCACATCTTGACGAACTGCCCGGCGAGCTCGAAGTTTGTCGCGCACATCATGACGGCAGCAAGGGCAGAGTTGTCCTCATACTCGATCCAGCCGTACCCCTGGTGCAGCCCACGCCCCTCCACCCCGGGCATCACCTCGATGCTGCGGATGGCACCAAAGCCCTCAAACACCGTCTTGATGTCGTCCTGGCTCAGGTCGGCGTGCAGCGACGTCACATAGATGCGGTTGGCCTGGGCAGACGCGCGGGAGAGGGGTGGGCACGAGCGGTGAGGAGGGAAAGACAAGGGAGTGAACAGAACGGAGAGGGAGGTGATGAGGAGGCAGGAGGGAAAAGCACAGGAAACCAGGTGAAGAAGCATTGCGAACAAACACCAGTCGCCGCCACCTCTGCAGCCGCCTGTGCCAGGGGCTCCAGGAACTCCATCGCGCGATCGCTGTTGTTTGGCCGCCCAAGCTGCACAGAGCGAACACAAGGAGGAGAGGGGTTACGGTGGTGACGGGGAAGTTAACGCAAACAAACAACCAACACGTGGCTGATATTGGGGCGAGGTGGTTGCGACACAAGCCCAGATGCATACACGCACACGCATTCACGCACACACATGCGAATATGGGAGGACGTACGATGATGTTTCTTCCGCCGATGATGACACCGTTCATCTCGGAGAGGGCAAGCATGGCCGCCTCGGGCGCGTCAAAGTGCAGGAACGCATAGCCCTGCACAGAGACGCAGAGGCAGGCAAGTTAAGTTCAGTGATCGAAATGACAAAACAACAGGCACGCGCGTGCACACATGCACACACACACACACACACAAAGGCGCACACTCACACAAAGGCGCAGACACACACGCACACACACGCACACGCACACACACACACACACACACACACACACACACACGACGGCGCACACACACACACACACACACACACACAACCGAGGATACCTTGGCAAGTTATACGTCGGTCTCCCTCCTGGGGACTCCCAAGTCTCAATGTAGACTAGATCGGTTTGAATACCTGAAGCTCATTCAGCGTATCGGACAAGAATCTCGTTTGATCTACGCACGTGAGTGGTAGATATAGTTCCAATTCACGAGAACCGATATTTTGTTGCGCGTCGGCTTGGTCGTGTCGGGCCCCTAACCGTTCACACCTATGCCGTCTCTCGCGTAGTGTCCGTCATTCGTAAACGTGGAGTGTGGTACCATGGGAGCTTTGTTGCGCTACCTTACCAGTCGGAAAATCTGACGTTTCAGCCACAAGGAACGGTGTTGGACAAGGCACACACACACACACACACACACACACACACACAAGGCGCGCACACACACACACACACACACACACACAAAGACGCACACACACATACGTATACACATATGATGTGGTACCTTGAATGATGTGCCCGTTGTCTCGTGCTTGACGCTGCACTCTCGAATGCCACCATACTTGCGAAAGGCCTGGCAACAAGGCGCACACATGACGGAATGAATGGAACGCATGTACCCGTACAGAATGCGGTGAATGAAGTAGGTTCATGAGAAAGGCACGATATCACAAGCGTCGGACCACGCACACTCGCAACACAAAACATATCAGGGAGAGGGAGTGAGTGTGTGTGTGTGCTTGTGCGACGGGATTTAGGCAGTAGCACCATCAGTCGAAACACAATCAGTGGCCACAGACACCAGTCGTGACATCATGCATAGCAGCAGCTCCGACACCACAGACATGAGTGGAGAGGACCAACCTTCCTGAGATCAAACTCCGTGACTTCGCGGGAGAGGTTGCCGATGTAGATGCGGCTCAGCACCTCCACCGCCTCCCGGCGCGAAATGGCATTGGCCGCCTCCTGCTTCTTCTGCTCATACCAGTACATGTCCACGAAGCACGACAGGGCAAGACATCACCATCTTGTGCATGGGAGAGAACCGCACTTGCGTACAAGCACAAGCATAAGCACACACGCACACACACAATCACACGTACTCACATCAAAAACAAACGCTTGTATGTACGCACCTTCACTTCCTCTTGGAAGGCGAGGTTGATTTGCAACAGGTACTGCAATGCATCGTCTCTTCGCTCCTGTATCACCAACAGAACACAGAAAGAGGTGTGTGCATGAGTCGACCATGGAGAGGACGCACACATCGTGGGAGAAGGGAGGGGTAAAGCAACCCTCGACCACATTCGTGCACAAACACAGAATGACACACACTGACACACACACACACACACACACACACCATCTGCTGGGCGTCGAGCTTTGGGAGGTTCACGAAAGGGGTGAGCTTCCATGGGTGCCAGACGCCGGCCTGCTGGGCCATGGTCTGCAGCTGCATGTTGGCTGTGTCGCCACGCCCAGGAAGGATGTTGCCGCTCTGGTCGTCTGCGCCACCGGTGGCCGATGCAAAGCCACGCTTCTTTCGACGGCGTCGCCTCTGTTGACCAGTGCCACTACCTTCCTGTGGCTGCTCTTGCTTCTGCTGTTGCTGCTCTTTTTGCTGTTGCTGTGGCTGCTGCTCTTGTTGCTGCTGTTGTGGTTGTTCCTGTGGTGTCTGCTGGAGCAGAGCGCCACCGCCTGCCTCCGATGGTGCCTGTGTGCGCATGTGTACATGTTTATGAGCACGATCACGAAGTAAAACAGTCTGTGCGTGCGTGTGTGTGTGCGTATGTGTGTGTGCGTGTGCCTGTGTGTGCGTATGTGCCTGTGTGTGTGTATGTGTGCCTGTGCGTGCGACGACAGCATGCTGCAACACACCTGCAACAACGGAGGCCGCACATTCACAGCATCCTGTGGCTGCTGCTGTTGCTGAGCAGCAGCAGGCGCATCTGGTGTTGTCTGAGTTGTGCACAAAAGAATGATATGGGTGTGAGAAGTAAAAGGGTTGACAGATAGAGAGAGGGAGAGAGACAGAGAGACAGAGAGACAGAGAGACAGAGAGAGACAGAGAGAGACAGAGAGACACAGAGAGAGAGACAGAGAGAGAGACAGAGAGAGAGAGACGGAGAGAGAGACGGAGAGAGAGACAGAGAGAGACA